GAAGATGTAAGAGTGAATAAAAACCATTTCCCGTCAAATCAAAGCGTCAAAGCTTGGATATGACATGCAATATGCAGATGTAAAGTTGTAGAGAAAAATAAAAAACATTTTTAACGTTGTCACGGATATTACGAGTGCCGTAACAAAGTGTTGACGAGTTTCACATGCATTTAACAAAACAAGCTTGAGTAGACAAAGAGCATGCCAAAAATATATGATGGAAAACTTGCTCAGCGCATCTACAAGCACCAACTTCAGAGCTCGCTCTGTCACAAATTAATTGAGAACCTGAGCATTCGTTGTCAACTCCACAAACTCTCCAATCTCATGGTAACGACCAACTGGATGTACTAGTACCGATTTTGGAGTAATTAGCTCGCTCAGTCACACGTTTTAAGACAAATCATCTGCGCATGCGCAGTCAACTTGACCAGCTACCCAATTCATGGTTATGGCAACGACCAACTGCATCTACTAGCACCAATTTTGAAATAAATAGCATGCTTAGTAACAATTTAATAGAGAAATCGTCCGCGCATGCGCTCGAGCATGCGCAGTCCACTCGAGTAATTGTTCATAGTCATGACAACGACCAACTATATGTACTTGCACTACATTTGTGTCAATTAACTCACCTAGTCGCAAATTATCAAAGAAATCATCTGGGCATGCGCAGTAACGATAACAATCATCCCATAACTTTCGTACGCCTTTAAATTTTGGTATATATATATTAAGCTAAAACTTTATATACTAGATGTCAATTAGCAGTGGAAGCTGGGTGCGATATAGTATGCAGTGGCTTAGGGGCCCTCACTTCGGTGGCGATCGTACTCTCCCTGCGTACCCTGAGCAAAGCCTATCGCAGGTGATCTCAGGGTCTGATGGGCGGAAGCTTGCTACTGGCATCTCCAAAGTAGGATAGCGTGGAGGGCCGAAATCTCCTACCGAAACGTTAACATGCTGCGTTCTAGTGCCTTGCGCTTAAGAAGGTATCGGGAAGCATGGACCGAAAACGGGGTTTTTTGCTTTCGAATTTTATCTTTTTGCTTTCTTCTCATAAAACAAACCAAACAATGTTTCAATTAACTTCTTATGACCCTGTCTGACACTTATAAATAAAGACAACCTTAAAAAGTTTTATATCAATTTTATCGGTTTATATCTTTCGGATTTAACTCTCCCATTTACTGTTTCTCATGTACCACGAGCAAACCATCCATATGTTTCATGGAAAACAAACAAGGATTATGTGGTTCCCTTAGTTAACCTGCGACTCTCTAGTGATCAACTATCTATGGGTATCGGGAGGCATGGACCGAAAACGGGATTTTTTGGTTTTCAAAATTTGTCCTTTTCTTTACAAGAATTCTTCTCATAAAAAAAACTAGCACGTCCAAGGATACTTCAAAGGTTCAAACAACTTCTGCCTTTTTGAACTATAACTTAAACAAACACTAAGCATGTTTATACGTTTTTTACTTATTACCTTTTACAACGTATTTTTCTCATAAATCTCTCGTGATGAACGAGAGCCTCCTTATACAATATGACTGTTTCATCATGAAAGAACGCATCCATGGGATTCACGGAAAAAAGAGATTAAGTACTTTTTCATAATAGTTTCTACAAAGATAACATTTATTAAGCTAAGAAATTTGAAAATAAATATATTTGAGTTATTAGCAAATAACAAGTCGAGAATTCATTGATCATACTCACTCCAATTGGACTGGAACAACCATGACATTAATAATTTCGACCATCCAACCCTTTATCAAGGGCTATATTTTTAATTAACGACAGTAACTTCATACGTCGTTCTTGCTGAACACCTTCAGGTGAAGTAGGATCATCAATAATCTGTTATATATAAAAACATAATTTATCCATAGAATTATAGCAAAGTTACCATGGACAGGTGAGGGTTATTAACGCTATAAAACTTAAATTCAATATATCGTATAAAGTACCTCAAATCCCGACGATTTCTCGTATCGAAAGGATTCTAAAGTAAAGGTGAAAATTAAGATGAGAAATTTCGAAGAATTGAAACTAGAGAATTTTCAAAAAAATGTTGAAAATACCTGTACTACCACAAGATTTTTCAATGTCTATGCTCTAAAATAATAGTCATAAAAACGACAATTTCAAAAAGCATAAAAAAAGTAAGTATTTGTAACATTGGTGAAAGATACAGGATGAACATGAAACCTACTCAGAATACGATGGAACGAGACCATAACCATTTGATGTGAAGTTATTCCTAACAACGTTTGCGTAATCCGTTAGCATACCATGAAAACTAACTTCTGGTTTAGGCGACGCTTTACTAGCAACCTCCTCAACGTCTTCAGGACAATTAACGTCTACTGAACTGGTGTCACAAGGCTCAATGACGACGACCAACCACTAGCCATACCTAACATGTTACCACCAGAGATATTTCTTGGGTAGATCAAGGTTTTAGGAACTTTAGACAAGGGTTGTGTTGAGCTGAGAACTAAAAAAGAGCAAATATGGATAGATGATGAAGTGGAGAACAAGAATAGAGGTTATAGAAGACACACTACGTATGCTCATTGGTGTTTCACAAGAGTATATATTACAGGATAACTATGGATCCAACTAGTCTAAACAACTACGTACATTTAAGCAATCCATCTTTCCCATGGTAAACACACGTGTCAAAAAAACGTGATCAAATTACAAAATTCTTGCAATCAAATAGTCGGACATGGTATTGTATTTGTAGAAGAGAGCCAATAAAATAAAAAGATTCTCCTGGGGCATTTGTAAATATTAGTTTAGAAATACAGATCGACTAATTATAAAGGCAGAAGATGTAAGAGTGAATAAAAACCATTTCCCGTCAAATCAAAGCGTCAAAGCTTGGATATGACATGCAATATGCAGATGTAAAGTTGTAGAGAAAAATAAAAAACATTTTTAACGTTGTCACGGATATTACGAGTGCCGTAACAAAGTGTTGACGAGTTTCACATGCATTTAACAAAACAAGCTTGAGTAGACAAAGAGCATGCCAAAAATATATGATGGAAAACTTGCTCAGCGCATCTACAAGCACCAACTTCAGAGCTCGCTCTGTCACAAATTAATTGAGAACCTGAGCATTCGTTGTCAACTCCACAAACTCTCCAAGCTCATGGTAACGACCAACTGGATGTACTAGCACCAATTTTGAAGTAAATAGCATGCTTAGTAACAATTTAATAGAGAAATCGTCTGCGCATGCGCTCGAGCATGCGCAGTCCACTCGAGTAATTGTTCATAGTCATGACAATGACCAACTATATGTACTTGCACTACATTTGTGTCAATTAACTCACTTAGTCGCAAATTATCAAAGAAATCATCTGGGCAAGCGCAGTAACGATAACAATCATCCCATAACTTTCGTACGCCTTTAAATTTTGGTATATATATATAAAGCTAAAACTTCATAGAGTAGATGTCAACTAGCAGTGGAAGCTGGGTGCGATATAGTATGCAGTGGCTTAGGGGCCCTCACTTCAGTGGCGACCGCACTCTCCCTGCGTACCCTGAGCAAAGCCTATCGCAGGTGATCTCAGGGTCTGATGGGCGGAAGCTTGCTATTGGCATCTCCCAAGTAGGATAGCGTGGAGGGGCCGAAATCTCCTACCGAAACGTTAACATGCGGCGTTCTAGTGCCTTTCGCTTAAGAAGGTATCGGTAAGCATGGACCGAAAACGGGCTATTTTGCTTTCGAATTTTATCTTTTTGTTTTCTTCTCATAAAACAAAACAAGCAATGTTTCAATTATCTTCTTATGACCCTGTGACACTTATAAATAAAGACAACCTTAAACAGGTTTTATGACAATTTTATCGGTTTATATCTTTCTGATTTAACTCTCCCATTTACTGTTTCTCATGTATCAGGAGCAAACCATCCATATGTTTCATGGAAAACAAACAAGGATTATGTGGTTCCCTTAGTTAACATGCGACTCTCTAGTGATCAACTATCTATGGGTATCGGGAGGCATGGACCGAAAACAGGATTCTTTGGTTTTCAAAATTTGTCTTTTTCTTTACAAGAATTCTTCTCATAAAAAAAACTAGAACTTCCAAGGATACTTCAAAGGTTCAAACAACTTCTGCCTTTTTGAACTATAATTGATATAATGATCTCAGGTCTGATGAGCGGAAGCTTCCTATTGGCATTTCCCAAGTAGGATAGCTTGGAGTGGCCGAAATCTCCTACCGAAACGTTAACATGCGGCGTTCTAGTGCCTTAGATATAAGAAGAAACATATTTCGGGAAACATGGCCCGAAAACGGCTTTTCTTGCTTTCAAATTTTATCTTTTTGTTTATCTCATAAAACAAACTAGAACATCCAAGGATACTACAAAGGTTCAAATAACTTCCTCCTTCTTAATTTATACAGACATTCTGGAATTCTGCGGTGCCTTTGCTAGTTGCTACGTCTGTAAAATTTTAAACAAAATGGAAGTACTTCCGTTCCGTTTCACTTCCGTTCACGTAGTTTATTTAAATTAAATACGAGGAAAAAATGGCGGCAGTTTATACGAGGTTAGCACTATTTTCCACCCAGCAAACCGCCCTTTACTTTACACAATCGGAAATAAATTAAAGATGGCGGCTAATGGGAAAGAACCAAAAGCTAAAAGGAAACCATGCATGCACTGGTGCTAGGTCGTTTTGAGATGGTGAGTAATTTTATCTTTTTATAATACAGTTTTTAATATCAACATATGAAAATATTTAGAGATAAATGTTGCAGTATAAATTTTCATGCAACCACCTTAAGTTATAAACTTATAATCCAGGCTGGAAAATGTCGTTTTTTCGACGATTGTGTAAAGTATTATATAAAATATTATATTGTGTAAAGTATTAGATTGCGTAAAATATTATATTGTGTAAAATATTATATTTCAAAGTAAAGGGCGGTTTGCTGGGTGGAAAATAGTGCTAACCTTTATACGAGCGAAGATCATTCAATGTAAGCTTTGCGGATGGATAAATTTGTTGTACAGAAATTGTCCCAAGTTCCTCATCCAAAGACAAAGTCACACCTTTCTGTGAATATAGATGCAAAACAGCGAGCAAGTAAATATCCGTCAGGAACTTTTCACCTGGATGATGGTCTGTTGTTCTGTTCAAAGTGTAATGTCGTAATTGATCATGTAAGGAAATCCACCGTCGATGACCACCTAAAATCAAAGAGTCATGCCAAAGCAAACTCTTTTGGAAAGCAGCAGTCTGTCAAAACAGCACTGAAATTCTCTAACAATGCAAAGGCAGAGAAAATCAAGGTTTGTCAAGAATGGATATATGAATGCACTGCGGCGAATATTCCGCTATTAAAATCTGATAACGCATATCTAAGAGAGTTTTTGACCACAAGGGTAAAAAATAGCGGTGCTATTCCTGGATCCTCTCAACTGCGAGATGAGTATCTTCTTGATGTATATGTTGTAGAGAAAGAGGAATTGAAGCAAAAATTTAACGGTAAAAAAAGTCGCTATATTGACTGATGAGCTGAGCGATGATGAGGGACGCTATGTAATGGATGTCCTGGCTGTTATTCTTGATTTTGATGAACTATCTCCTCATGGCAATGCTTGCGCTTATTTACTGGATACACATTTTTGACCAGCACCAACAATGTGACAGTGCCCCAGACAGTGCTCAAAGTCGTAAATGAGTATGATATTTCGTTTGATAATGTGCTCATTTTTAATTCTGATAACGTGGCATACATGAAGAAAGCATTTTCGTCCACACTTTCGGTTATTTTTCCAAATTGTGTGCACATTACTTGCCATAGTCACATTGTTAATCTCGTTGTTTCAGACTTCAAGAAAAATTTTTCTGAAATAACTGAGTTTGTTAAATGTTTCAGAAATTTGTTTTACATTCCAAGTGGCAGAAAAGTAGGTTTCTAAACTTTTGAAAAAGTCTCTACTGAAGAGGAGTCTGTCTGTATGCCTCCTAACCCAACAACAAAAGCTGGAGTGCTTGGTTAGACTCTGTGCTATATCACGCAGACCGTTTTTTGCACTATAGGAGCTTCATATCAGCAGAGCTTGAGGTCTCGGATCAACCATCCAATTCTTTGATAAGACTGGGAGAAATATACGAAGATGAGACATACTTATTGAAACTGAAAGCTCAGTTTGACTTCATTAAGATGAAAGCACCATCTTTGCTTATATATCTTGATTACTTTCAAATGAAGATTCCTCACATTACTCAGTCCTATGTAAAAATGAATCAGCTACTGGACTACTTGAGGCAAAATATTACAGTGGATTCTAATGATCTTTCAAAATCGTTTTATGATTTGGAGATAGATCACATGGATGATTTGAAGAAACAGTTTGTAAGTGCATTCAAGCAAGCAGAAGCAAAACTCGAGAAGTATATTGTTAATGGAGGACAACCAGCATCAGAATTTTTGAAGGAAATCAAAGTACTTGAACCACGGAACATAGTCTCTTCATCAAAGCTACACAGTTCATACACCAATATTCCTGGATTCAAAGAAAGTGTCTCCGATGAAGAATGGCATAAGTATGTTGATATATTCGGACCTGCTGCTGTGTCAGAAAGTCCACAAGGTAAGGTAGACCTGAAGCTGTTTTGGAAATCCCATGCAGATGAACTTCCAGAACTTTACAAGCTTGCCTCCCACTATTGCACTGGAACATTGGGATCATACGATGTTGAAAGGTCATTCAGCACATATAATTCCATTCTTGATCAGAAGAGAAGGAATTTAAATGACGTCCAATTTATTACGTAAATGCATGTTATATGCATTTCGTTGTATTAAACCACCATACCAAAAAATATCCAGATTTGATTTTAGCTGCATCGAGCGAAGAAAATTGAAGAACTTTTTTTACATTTTTTTATGTTATTTATGATTCGATGTATCACGAGATTCCAGATGGGATTCATGACTGCCTTAGAATACAATTAACACGTATTCTTAATAAGACAATGTTTTATGTTATCATTTAGCGTCATCGTAACTTCATACATTTAAATTTATAGCTATAGTTCAAAATTCCATATTTAGGTATATAACTTGTGAAAGCCAGTTTAGAGAGATTTTATGCATCAGTAATAATAATAGTGATTAGTGATTATAAGACAGCGAAAGCAACATTTAATAAAAAATAACAGTTCAAAAATTTGTATGACTTGCTTTTTTGTGGTGTATCCAGCTGGAATCCGTTCTGAATATTCTTAAGTCACGCCGTAAAGGCCCGTAACAATCCTTACATAAAATGCATTAGGATGACAACTTGTCAGTATTCAAGCTCTCCTTCGATTGTTACAGTACTGCAAATGAATTTTTTAGTGAAATTGCTGACATAAAAACTGGTCGGCATTCTTGATATTGGCCATGTATGGAACCATTAATTTTCACACAGCAGGACAGCTTAAAATGTGGTGTAATCAATTGCCTGGTAAGTGAGCACTCCACAGACATTTAACAATTTATTCTATTAATTTATCCATTGGTCATTTCTTGTAGTTATTGCATTAGATTTCTGCACAATGCAAATCATGTCCACAAATCACAATGTATATAAATATATAAAAATATTTATTGCTGGTTATTTATGTAGGTTAATTTTATGCTAACATCTGTTCAAAACAGCTGTGTAAAATAGTTCTCTTTGAGCTGTCAAAAATAACATACGCTTTAAATAATCTTCCTGTCCAATACAACCTTCCATTACGTTGTACATATACATATTACATATTATATATACATATTTTATATAAAATGCTTCCTTTAGTCATAGTTAACCTAATGTCTTACATTATAAATATTGCTACTAACGTTAATAAAGTCAGTCTCGAACTGGAATTGTTTCTGTTATTGTCTCGGTATTCTACAATTTGAACAATTTCTTTTCCACAGTTTCCAAGGTGTATTTGTGAAAATTCAAGATTAAACAGAAATTTTAAAATGGAATTAGAGAAAGAGAAATTAATATCACCCATATTCAGCTCTTGCTATGATGACAATCATGAGTATGTTTTAACCAGTCTTTAATGCATTATATAGTGCATGAGAAACTTAAATTCATTTTAAATTCCTTTGTTTGTTTTGCTGTAGAGGAAATACTGGTGTTTGCAAAATATGCAAAGACAATGATGGTGAAGATTGGCTTGGATGCAACAAATGCTTTCAGTTTTTTCATTACAGGTGTTTAAATTTGGACTTTTCTGCTGCCCTTGCCAACTATTTTGTTTGTCCATGCCAAAACTCTTGGCACAATATCACACAAATGGCTACATTTACCATCTCAACATTAAATAAATTTCCAAGGAAACAGGCAAACAGTCATAAGTGCTTCAATGATTGTGTTGTATTTAGAAGAAGTAAACTTGAATGGGTAGCACTTAAAGCTTAGCACAACTTGGTCATAATGCCTATCCATTTCCTGTATTCTGCTTGCAAACATCTTTCATTATACACTCTCAAAGCATGGTTGTAGTTTCTTAATTCAGATGCTTAACTTAAAAGTCAAAATTGATTACAGTCAAAATAGAAAAAGTTAATATAATAAAATAAATAAGAAAAGAAGGAGAATACATACCTGCTTTTGACGACAAACTCAAACAACACGTACATCGTTTTTTGTTGACTCTCTAGTTTCTACATAATGTTTCAAATATCAAAGGGATATATGTATCGCATCCATTTTCTGGCATATAAAACCACAGATATACGTATCGCATCCATTTTCTGGGGGGAATGCTATAACCCGGGCGATGATCGGGGACGCGCCTATTAACTTCCTGGTCAGCGGCAAAAGCCTTGACATAATAATCGCTATAAGTACAATATGTTTCTTGTATAAAATTTCATAACACAAATCAACACAAAGTATACAGCACAGCGCCCACATTGTATTATATGTTCATTTGGCTTTTACAAAATATGCGGTCTTTTTTATAACGAATGTTACTGCAAACGCGCATTGTGAAGTATATTATTCTTTGTTATTGAGCTTGCTTGTAATATGTTCTATAAGATATTGATGATGCTCAAAAGTATTCTAATCCTAAGTATTCTGCTCAAAACCTGTCGTCATTTTTATAACAAATGTTGCTTCAAACGCGCATTGTGACGTTAAATTTACGTATGAGATTAAATCTAGAAGCTACTACTTCGATCATAGGAATTGGCCTACTCATTATGCTGAATATTCCATATGTACATACAGTACGTATTCCATATATGGATATATATTGCACAATCCATAAGAGCAAATACACGACGCTAAAGCGCAAATACATGACGATAAAGAGCAAATACACGACGTGGTTGGTGGTCAACAGTGGGTTTTACTTTCTATGAATACAGCCTCACTAAAGGCGGCAAGTGAGACAGGCTTTGGTCTTTAATCGAAAAAAGATTGTACTCTATTGATAAAAGCAGTCCCATCTCGATGTAATGAAGAAGGTACTATAACTATTAATGCTTTGTATTTTATCTTATCAACTGACGAAATTTACTCAAACTAGTTGCTGCAGCAGTAGATGGACAAACTTTGTTTATGTTTTGGCTCCAAAGTGATTAAATCTTTTGTTTCTTAAATTACATTTCTAGTCGCCTTGTTTTTTATGGTATTTCTAATCAGATAACTTTCTAGTTTGTATGTTTGTGTCTCTATTAGATTTGTGGTCTAATAACTGTCTGTGTTCTCTGAAGTATGGGTTGTCTCTTGATTATGTTGTTTGTTAACTGTGATGTTCGATGACCTCATTGTCTTATGATTATTATGTTTCATTACATTATTGTCTGATTACTATATTTTCTGATGATTGTATTGTTTTATGATTTTATTGTCTGATGACATTTTCTGATGATTTTTTTATGACTTTATTGTTGATGATCGTATTGTCTAATGATCGTATAGTCTAATGACTGCATTTTTAAATGACTGTATTGTCTAATGACTGTATTATTTAATGACCCTATTGGCTGATGATTATATTGTTTGATGACATTATTATCTAATGACTGTATTGTTTCATGACTGTATTGTTTAATGACTGTATTGTTTAATGACTGTATTGTTTAATGACTGTATTGTTCAATGACTTTATTGTTTAATAACTTTATTGTTCAATGACTGTATTGTTTAATGACTGTATTGTTTAATGACTGTATTGTTCAATGACTTTATTGTTTAATAAATTTATTCTTCAATGACTGTATTGTTTAATGACTGTATTGTTCAATGACTGTATTGTTTAATGACTGTAATATTTCATGACTGTATTGTTTAATTACTGTATTGTTCAATAACTGTATTGTTTAATGACTGTATTGTTTCATGACTGTATTGTTTAATAACTATATTGTTCAATGACTGTATTGTTTAATGACTGTATTGTTTCATGACTATATTGTTCAATGAATGTATTGTTTGATGACTGTATTGTTTAATGACTGTATTGTTTCATGACTATATTGTTCAATGACTGTATTGTTTAATGACTGTATTGTTTAATGACTGTGTTGTTTAATGACTTTATTGTTCAATGACTTTCTTGTTTCATGACAGTATTGTTTAATGACTATATTGTTCAATGAATGTATTGTTTAATGAATGTATTGTTTAATGACTGTATTGTTCAATAGCTGTATTGTTTCATGACTATATTGTTCAATGAATGTATTGTTTAATGACTGTATTGTTTAATGACTGTATTGTTTAATGACTGTATTGTTCAATGACTATATTGTTTAATGACTGTATTGTTTAATGACTGTATTGTTCAATGAATGTATTGTTTAATGACTGTATTGTTTAATGACTATATTGTTTAATGACTGTATTGTTTCATGACTGTATTGTTTAATGACTGTATTGTTTAATGACTGTATTGTTTAATGACTGTATTGTTTAATGACTGTATTGTTCAATGACTATATTGTTTAATGACTGTATTGTTTAATGACTGTATTGTTTAATGACTGTATTGTTCAATGAATGTATTGTTTAATGACTGTATTGTTTAATGACTGTATTGTTTAATGACTGTATTGTTCAATGACTATATTGTTTAATGACTGTATTGTTTAATGACTGTATTGTTCAATGAATGTATTGTTTAATGACTGTATTGTTTAATGACTATATTGTTTAATGACTGTATTGTTTCATGACTGTATTGTTTAATGACTGTATTGTTTAATGACTGTTTTGTTTAATAACTATATTGTTTAATGACTGTATTGTTTAATGACTATTGTTCAATGACTGTTTTGTTTAATAACTATATTGTTTAATGACTGTATTGTTTAATGACTGTATTGTTCAATGACTGTATTGTTCAATGACTGTATTGTTTAATGACTATATTGTTCAATGAATGTATTGTTTAATGACTGTATTGTTTCATGACTGTATTGTTTAATGACTTTATTGTTCAATGACTTTCTTGTTTCATGACTGTATTGTTCAATGACTGTATTGTTTAATTACTGTATTGTTTAATGACTGTATTGTTTAATAACTATATTGTTTAATGACTGTATTGTTTAATGACTATATTGTTCAATGAATGTATTGTTTAATGACTGTATTGTTTCATGACTGTATTGTTTAATGACTGTATTGTTCAATAACTGTGTTGTTTAACGACTGTATTGTTTCATGACTGTATTGTTTAATGACTGTATTGTTTAATGACTGTATTGTTCAATGACTGTATTGTTTAATGACTATATTGTTCAATGACTGTATTGTTTAATTACTGTATTGTTTAATGACTGTATTGTTTAATGACTATATTGTTCAATGAATGTATTGTTTAATGACTTTATTGTTTCATGACTGTATTTTACATGCGTCAAATGCATTAAAGATAAAAGAAAATGAGATGAAATTCCTCATTATCTTTTGTTTTGAATGCATTTGACTCATGTAAAATGTGAAGTATAAGACAGGCCTTATTGTCTCATGTCTGTGTTGTCGGAGAGGGTGCATAACCTCTAAAACTCATAAACTCTGGTGCATAACCTTTAGTGTCCTCTAAAAACTGTTGAAGTTGTTGGCTGCATGTATATGCCTGTTTCTGTAGATATTATCTTATAATTTCAATGATATAACAACTCAAAGATACAATTTTGTAATCTAATCGTCCTACACGTTGAAACTTCTTGGGAAGGAGGGGTATGGCAGGGAGTGACATCCGTCGTTCGTCTAGTCGGGCAACTTTTGAAATTGAGATAAAAATACAATGTGATGTACTGCAAGTTAGAAAACATAAGGCAATATTATAAAGATAATTGTTCCATAACTTTAAAAGTACATTACATAGGGTTTCGTACTAGTACATATTGAATCTTATTTAAAAGAAATTTTGAGATAAAGTAATACAAAATATTTGGCACTTCCATGACGTGTCAACGTGATATGTGGAAAGAAGTGAGAGAAACTGTTCTTTTCAACGAAAGCAGCTAATAGATCCATTCTATCGTTAAACCGCAACGTTAAGTTCATTTATCCAATATATCTTAGAGGCAAATTCATTGGCAAAATTATATTCTTTAGAAATTCAAAACCAATAGTTTTTCTGAATGTAATTTGAATATCAAATTGAGGAGCTATAATTTATTTTGAGGTACACTGGATCCGCCACTGTTTCCAGTTATTTGTCCAAGCCAAGTGTGAAGATTTGCTTGCAAAACTGACGTTGATTTAGTGACATTTGTGGTAGATAAAATTTCTGATTACTACATTGAATGCAGCACTAACTAATTTAATGATTCTTTTAACGGTAAAATCCTGTGTGCTCTTACGTTTTCGCCTCAAAACCATTGGCTGTTGTTGCCTTAGCTTTTTTCCTGAGCAATATGCATCAGCGTTTCTCAACCACAAAACACACTGTTTCCTTAGAGTGCCGTAAATAAGTTACAAGTATGTTCAATACGGTTCAGAAAGAATTTACTGCATTTAGTTGACTCAATTTTGTATTTTTTGTTCATTAACGCGTACATACACGTTTTATTGCGATTAGTCCAGGAATCGTAATAAGCCGTTAGAAAATGAGCATCGCAAAACGCAGAAAACTGAAAAGTAAGTTGAATTAACACTTTTCAGCAGTTTTAAAATTGTAGAATGTCACGACTCATTAATTGTCCAAAGGAAACAATTGATCCAAACATGATATAAGATTGCACCAGAAATTTCAATGTTTTGTAAAAACGTTACTATGTCCATAAAGTATGACACCAATCTCCCAACAATTCAAGTAACATTTAACCAATTGGCTAGGAACTTTCTCCAATTACAGCAGTCCTTTAAACGTAATATGAAAACATTAAAACAACAATATTTTCAATGGACAGTTCTATAGAGATTTCCTATTAGACATAAGACATACATGTAGATTTCCATGTTCTTCTATCATTAACGTCATAAACTATTTTCTAATTATATTATTGGATAATCATTAAACTTAAGTAGTCATTAAACATTAGAGTCTATTAAATAATTATCATTGTTTATTGAATTTTACAGTATTAAACAATAAATGGTCTGGACGAACCAGAGCCTTGCAACAATGCTATTCTTTGTGTCAAACGTTTATCGTCTAATGCATCTGAATGTTTTAGATGTTCTACTAATATTGTTGATGGAAACTCTTCCAGTATTGAACAATCACCATTAAACAATACATTCATTAAACAATGAGATTCTACAGCAACAAATGTCACAAACATACTCAGAAACAGAGCAAACCTTTGAACCAAAGGTTTAAACAACAAGTCTTTAAACAATCAGTCATTAAAAATAAGTTCATTGGGAAAATTGTCATGAAACAATACTGTCATTAAAAATAAGTATAAAGAATAATTATTGAACAATATAGCAAAACAATACAGTCATTAAACAATACAGTCTTTGAACAATATAGTTTTAAACAATCAATGAAAAATACAGTCATTAAACAATACAGTTATTGAAACAATACAGTAATTAAAGATACAGTCATGTCATTGTCATTAAACAATACAGTCATTGAAAATACAGTCATTAAACAATACAGTCATTGAAGAATAAATTTATTAAACAATAAAGTTTAACAATACAGTCATTAAACAATACAGTCATTAAACAATACAGTCATCGAACAAAAAGTTATTAAACAATAAAGTCATTGATACAGTCATTAAACAATACAGTCATTAAACAATACAGTCATTAAACAATACAGTCATGAAACAATACAGTCATTAGATAATAATGTCATCAAACAATATAATCATCAGCCAATAGGGTCATTAAATAATAAGTCATTAGACAATACAGTCATTTAAAAATGCAGTCATTAGACTATACGATCATTAGACAATATATCATCATCAATAAAGTCATAAAAATCATCAGAAAATGTCATCAGACAATAAAATCATAAAACAATACAATCATCAGAAAATATAGTAATCAGACAATAATGTAATGAAACATAATAATCATAAGACAATGAGGTCATCGAACATCACAGTTAACAAACAACATAATCAAGAGACAACCCATACTTCAGAGAACACAGACAGTTATTAGACCACAAATCTAATAGAGACACAAACATACAAACTAGAAAGTTATCTGATTAGAAATACCATAAAAAACAAGGCGACTAGAAATGTAATTTAAGAAACAAAAGATTTAATCACTTTGGAGCCAAAACATAAACAAAGTTTGTCCATCTACTGCTGCAGCAACTAGTTTGAGTAAATTTCGTCAGTTGATAAGATAAAATACAAAGCATTAATAGTTATAGTACCTTCTTCATTACATCGAGATGGGACTGCTTTTATCAATAGAGTACAATCTTTTTTCCATTAAAGACCAAAGCCTGTCTCACTTGCCGCCTTTAGTGAGGCTGTATTCATAGAAAGTAAAACCCACTGTTGACAACCAACCACGTCGTATTTGCTCTTTATCGTCATGTATTTGCGCTTTAGCGTCGTGTATTTGCTCTTATGGATTGTGCAATATATATCCATATATGGAATACGTACTGTATGTACATATGGAATATTCAGCATAATGAGTAGGCCAATTCCTATGATCGAAGTAGTAGCTTCTAGATTTAATCTCATACGTAAATTTAACGTCACAATGCGCGTTTGAAGCAACATTTGTTATAAAAATGACGACAGGTTTTGAGCAGAATACTTAGGATTAGAATACTTTTGAGCATCATCAATATCTTATAGAACATATTACAAGCAAGCTCAATAACAAAGAATAATATACTTCACAATGCGCGTTTGCAGTAACATTCGTAATAAAAGCGACCGCATATTTTGTAAAAGCCAAATGAACATATAATACAATGTGGGCGCTGTGCTGTATACTTTGTGTTGATTTGTGTTATGAAATTTTATACAAGAAACATATTGTACTTATAGCGATTATTATGTCAAGGCTTTTGCCGCTGACCAGGAAGTTAATAGGCGCGTCCCCGATCATCGCCCGGGTTATAGCATTCCCCCCAGAAAATGGATGCGATACGTATATCTGTGGTTTTATATGCCAGAAAATGGATGCGATACATATATCCCTTTGATATTTGAAACATTATGTAGAAACTAGAGAGTCAACAAAAAACGATGTACGTGTTGTTTGAGTTTGTCGTCAAAAGCAGGTATGTATTCTCCTTCTTTTCTTATTTATTTTTATTATATTAACTTTTTTCTATTTTGACTGTAATCAATTTTGACTTTTAAGTTAAGCATCTGAATTAAGAAACTACAACCATGCTTTGAGAGTGTATAATGAAAGATGTTTGCAAGCAGAATACAGGAAATGGATAGGCATTATGACCAAGTTGTGCTAAGCTTTAAGTGCTACCCATTCAAGTTTACTTCTTCTAAATACAACACAATCATTGAAGCACTTATGACTGTTTGCCTGTTTCCTTGGAAATTTATTTAATGTTGAGATGGTAAATGTAGCCATTTGTGTGATATTGTGCCAAGAGTTTTGGCATGGACAAACAAAATAGTTGGCAAGGGCAGCAGAAAAGTCCAAATTTAAACACCTGTAATGAAAAAACTGAAAGCATTTGTTGCATCCAAGCCAATCTTCACCATCATTGTCTTTGCATATTTTGCAAACACCAGTATTTCCTCTACAGCAAAACAAACAAAGGAATTTAAAATGAATTTAAGTTTCTCATGCACTATATAATGCATTAAAGACTGGTTAAAACATACTCATGATTGTCATCATAGCAAGAGCTGAATATGGGTGATATTAATTTCTCTTTCTCTAATTCCATTTTAAAATTTCTGTTTAATCTTGAATTTTCACAAATACACCTTGGAAACTGTGGAAAAGAAATTGTTCAAATTGTAGAATACCGAGACAATAACAGAAACAATTCCAGTTCGAGACTGACTTTATTAACGTTAGTAGCAATATTTATAATGTAAGACATTAGGCGTTAACTATGACTAAAGGAAGCATTTTATATAAAATATGTATATATAATATGTAATATGTATATGTACAACGTAATGGAAGGTTGTATTGGACAGGAAGATTATTTAAAGCGTATGTTATTTTTGACAGCTCAAAGAGAACTATTTTACACAGCTGTTTTGAACAGATGTTCGCCGCAAAATTAACCTACATAAATAACCAGCAATAAATATTTTTATATATTTATATACATTGTGATTTGTGGACATGATTTGCATTGTGCAGAAATCTAATGCAATAACTACAAGAAATGACCAATGGATAAATTAATAGAATAAATTGTTAAATGTCTGTGGGAGTGCTCACTTACCAGGCAATTGATTACACCACATTTTAAGCTGTCCTGCTGTGTGAAAATTAATGGTTCCATACATGGCCAATATCAAGAATGCCGACCAGTTTTTATGTCAGCAATTTCACTAAAAAATTCATTTGCAGTACTGTAACAATCGAAGGAGAGCTTGAATACTGACAAGTTGTCATCCTAATGCATTTTATGTAAGGATTGTTACGGGCCTTTACGGCGTGACTTAAGAATATTCAGAACGGATTCCAGCTGGATACACCACAAAAAAGCAAGTCATACAAATTTTTGAACTGTTATTTTTTATTAAATGTTGCTTTCGCTGTCTTATAATCACTAATCACTATTATTATTACTGATGCATAAAATCTCTCTAAACTGGCTTTCACAAGTTATATACCTAAATATGGAATTTTGAACTATAGCTATAAATTTAAATGTATGAAGTTACGATGACGCTAAATGATAACATAAAACATTGTCTTATTAAGAATACGTGTTAATTGTATTCTAAGGCAGTCATGAATCCCATCTGGAATCTCGTGATACATCGAATCATAAATAACATAAAAAAATGTAAAAAAAGTTCTTCAATTTTTTCGCTCGATGCAGCTAAAATCAAATCTGGATATTTTTGGTATGGTGGTTTAATACAACGAAATGCATATAACATGCATTTACGTAATAAATTGACGTCATTTAAATTCCTTCTCTTCTGATCAAGAATGGAATTATATGTGCTGAATGACCTTTCAACATCGTATGATCCCAATGTTCCAGTGCAATAGTGGGAGGCAAGCTTGTAAAGTTCTGGAAGTTCATCTGCATGGGATTTCCAAAACAGCTTCAGGTCTACCTTACCTTGTGGACTTTCTGACACAGCAGCAGGTCCGAATATATCAACATACTTATGCCATTCTTCATCGGAGACACTTTCTTTGAATCCAGGAATATTGGTGTATGAACTGTGTAGCTTTGATGAAGAGACTATGTTCCGTGGTTCAAGTACTTTGATTTCCTTCAAAAATTCTGATGCTGGTTGTCCTCCATTAACAATATACTTCTCGAGTTTTGCTTCTGCTTGCTTGAATGCACTTACAAACTGTTTCTTCAAATCATCCATGTGATCTATCTCCAAATCATAAAACGATTTTGAAAGATCATTAGAATCCACTGTAATATTTTGCCTCAAGTAGTCCAGTAGCTGATTCATTTTTACATAGGACTGAGTAATGTGAGGAATCTTCATTTGAAAGTAATCAAGATATATAAGCAAAGATGGTGCTTTCATCTTAATGAAGTCAAACTGAGCTTTCAGTTTCAATAAGTATGTCTCATCTTCGTATATTTCTCCCAGTCTTATCAAAGAATTGGATGGTTGATCCGAGACCTCAAGCTCTGCTGATATGAAGCTCCTATAGTGCAAAAAACGGTCTGCGTGATATAGCACAGAGTCTAACCAAGCACTCCAGCTTTTGTTGTTGGGTTAGGAGGCATACAGACAGACTCCTCTTCAGTAGAGACTTTTTCAAAAGTTTAGAAACCTACTTTTCTGCCACTTGGAATGTAAAACAAATTTCTGAAACATTTAACAAACTCAGTTATTTCAGAAAAATTTTTCTTGAAGTCTGAAACAACGAGATTAACAATGTGACTATGGCAAGTAATGTGCACACAATTTGGAAAAATAACCGAAAGTGTGGACGAAAATGCTTTCTTCATGTATGCCACGTTATCAGAATTAAAAATGAGCACATTATCAAACGAAATATCATACTCATTTACGACTTTGAGCACTGTCTGGGGCACTGTCACATTGTTGGTGCTGGTCAAAAAATGTGTATCCAGTAAATAAGCGCAAGCATTGCCATGAGGAGATAGTTCATCAAAATCAAGAATAACAGCCAGGACATCCATTACATAGCGTCCCTCATCATCGCTCAGCTCATCAGTCAATATAGCGACTTTTTTACCGTTAAATTTTTGCTTCAATTCCTCTTTCTCTACAACATATACATCAAGAAGATACTCATCTCGCAGTTGAGAGGATCCAGGAATAGCACCGCTATTTTTTACCCTTGTGGTCAAAAACTCTCTTAGATATGCGTTATCAGATTTTAATAGCGGAATATTCGCCGCAGTGCATTCATATATCCATTCTTGACAAACCTTGATTTTCTCTGCCTTTGCATTGTTAGAGAATTTCAGTGCTGTTTTGACAGACTGCTGCTTTCCAAAAGAGTTTGCTTTGGCATGACTCTTTGATTTTAGGTGGTCATCGACGGTGGATTTCCTTACATGATCAATTACGACATTACACTTTGAACAGAACAACAGACCATCATCCAGGTGAAAAGTTCCTGACGGATATTTACTTGCTCGCTGTTTTGCATCTATATTCACAGAAAGGTGTGACTTTGTCTTTGGATGAGGAACTTGGGACAATTTCTGTACAACAAATTTATCCATCCGCAAAGCTTACATTGAATGATCTTCGCTCGTATAAAGGTTAGCACTATTTTCCACCCAGCAAACCGCCCTTTACTTTGAAATATAATATTTTACACAATATAATATTTTACGCAATCTAATACTTTACACAATATAATATTTTATATAATACTTTACACAATCGTCGAAAAACGACATTTTCCAGCCTGGATTATAAGTTTATAACTTAAGGTGGTTGCATGAAAATTTATACTGCAACATTTATCTCTAAATATTTTCATATGTTGATATTAAAAACTGTATTATAAAAAGATAAAATTACTCACCATCTCAAAACGACCTAGCACCAGTGCATGCATGGTTTCCTTTTAGCTTTTGGTTCTTTCCCATTAGCCGCCATCTTTAATTTATTTCCGATTGTGTAAAGTAAAGGGCGGTTTGGTGGAAAATAGTGCTAACCTCGTATAAACTGCCGCCATTTTTTCCTCGTATTTAATTTAAATAAACTACGTGAACGGAAGTGAAACGGAACGGAAGTACTTCCATTTTGTTTAAAATTTTACAGACGTAGCAACTAGCAAAGGCACCGCAGAATTCCAGAATGTCTGTATAAATTAAGAAGGAGGAAGTTATTTGAACCTTTGTAGTATCCTTGGATGTTCTAGTTTGTTTTATGAGATAAACAAAAAGATAAAATTTGAAAGCAAGAAAAGCCGTTTTCGGGCCATGTTTCCCGAAATATGTTTCTTCTTATATCTAAGGCACTAGAACGCCGCATGTTAACGTTTCGGTAGGAGATTTCGGCCACTCCAAGCTATCCTACTTGGGAAATGCCAATAGGAAGCTTCCGCTCATCAGACCTGAGATCATTATATCAATTATAGTTCAAAAAGGCAGAAGTTGTTTGAACCTTTGAAGTATCCTTGGAAGTTCTAGTTTTTTTTATGAGAAGAATTCTTGTAAAGAAAAAGACAAATTTTGAAAACCAAAGAATCCCGTTTTCGGTCCATGCCTCCCGATACCCATAGATAGTTGATCACTAGAGAGTCGCATGTTAACTAAGGGAACCACATAATCCTTGTTTGTTTTCCATGAAACATATGGATGGTTTGCTCCTGATACATGAGAAACAGTAAATGGGAGAGTTAAATCAGAAAGATATAAACCGATAAAATTGTCATAAAACCTGTTTAAGGTTGTCTTTATTTATAAGTGTCACAGGGTCATAAGAAGATAATTGAAACATTGCTTGTTTTGTTTTATGAGAAGAAAACAAAAAGATAAAATTCGAAAGCAAAATAGCCCGTTTTCGGTCCATGCTTACCGATACCTTCTTAAGCGAAAGGCACTAGAACGCCGCATGTTAACGTTTCGGTAGGAGATTTCGGCCCCTCCACGCTATCCTACTTGGGAGATGCCAATAGCAAGCTTCCGCCCATCAGACCCTGAGATCACCTGCGATAGGCTTTGCTCAGGGTACGCAGGGAGAGTGCGGTCGCCACTGAAGTGAGGGCCCCTAAGCCACTGCATACTATATCGCACCCAGCTTCCACTGCTAGTTGACATCTACTCTATGAAGTTTTAGCTTTATATATATATACCAAAATTTAAAGGCGTACGAAAGTTATGGGATGATTGTTATCGTTACTGCGCTTGCCCAGATGATTTCTTTGATAATTTGCGACTAAGTGAGTTAATTGACACAAATGTAGTGCAAGTACATATAGTTGGTCATTGTCATGACTATGAACAATTACTCGAGTGGACTGCGCATGCTCGAGCGCATGCGCAGACGATTTCTCTATTAAATTGTTACTAAGCATGCTATTTACTTCAAAATTGGTGCTAGTACATCCAGTTGGTCGTTACCATGAGCTTGAGAGTTTGTGGAGTTGACAACGAATGCTCAGGTTCTCAATTAATTTGTGACAGAGCGAGCTCTGAAGTTGGTGCTTGTAGATGCGCTGAGCAAGTTTTCCATCATATATTTTTGGCATGCTCTTTGTCTACTCAAGCTTGTTTTGTTAAATGCATGTGAAACTCGTCAACACTTTGTTACGGCACTCGTAATATCCGTGACAACGTTAAAAATGTTTTTATTTTCTCTACAACTTTACATCTGCATATTGCATGTCATATCCAAGCTTTGACGCTTTGATTTGACGGGAAATGGTTTTTATTCACTCTTACATCTTCTGCCTTTATAATTAGTCGATCTGTATTTCTAAACTAATATTTACAAATGCCCCAGGAGAATCTTTTTATTTTATTGGCTCTCTTCTACAAATACAATACCATGTCCGACTATTTGATTGCAAGAATTTTGTAATTTGATCACGTTTTTGACACGTGTGTTTACCATGGGAAAGATGGATTGCTTAAATGTACGTAGTTGTTTAGACTAGTTGGATCCATAGTTATCCTGTAATAT